TTACGGAAGGTGAAAAAAGATCACACAACCATATTGCAAATCATTAAAAAATATTTTTACTTGTAAATAAAATATTTGAATTTATATTTTTAAATTATAATTAACGTTGAAACAGTAGTTAAGATATCGTAAGGTATACATAAATCTCTTATAATTTATTAGACAATCGAATGTAATGTAAATTACACATCGATGTTATAAAAATTTTCATAATAAAATTACGTAATAAAATATTTTGTTATTTAATTTATTCAAATTAGAAATATGACTCAAAACAATTAAAAAAATTAAAAATTTATTTAATGAAAGGAATAAATATATTTAATTGATTAAAAAGATTAAAACTTCGTTTAATAAATTTATATTACATAAAACCCAAGGTAACGTTAATACACCTAAGTCTTAACGATTTAAAGCATATAAAAGTAGAGATGTTACATAATAATACTATATAAATCACTGCATTAATATAATAAAAATATTATAGATGATAAATTTTAATGAAATAATAAAAAAATAATCAATGAATTTTAGAAATCAAATAGAATTGTTTTAATATATTAACAATGTATAAAACTCAAGGTAACGTTGGTACACATGAATTTTTGACAATTTATAACGCATAAAGGTAGAAGTTCTACATATTAACTATAAATTGTTGAACTTAGTATACTAAAATAATTTTTATTTTAATTAATGGATTGGTAAATTATTTATTTTATAACTAGAAGGAAAATATATTTTGGTTGATAAAGTCAGCATTTTTTTAAAAATAATTAATTTTTCTTAAAATTATTCATATATTACATGAAACCTAAGATATCGTAAGTATACATAATCTCAATGATTTACAACGTATAATGGTAGAGATGTTACACATTAACATTATATATCATTTCCTTAATTCTGTATAGTTATTTATTATATAATTTTAAAATGGAGTTAACTTATCAATCATGAGATAAAAAATAAAATAAGATATGAATCTAAATTAAATTATATTAATTTTTACATAAAAAATAATTAAATAATTAAAATTAATAAACATTAATATTTAGATAATAATAATGTATTTAGAGATAAATGTTTTATTTAATTTTATTGCAAAAAAAAATCTTTTTTATTTTTTTATTATTATCACTATTCCATTATTATCATTTTTTAAAATTTATTAGTAAAAACAAACACATAAACTAAAAAATGTTGATACGTAAATAGTATCTTATTTATTCATAAATATAAAAAAAATAAAAAAATAGATGTAAAGTAGATGTGAAACCGATGTAATAGGAGGTAGTAAAAAAAAACATAAATCCACATAATAGATGGGATCACTATGTATGGTAGATGGCATCGAGAAAGAGACATTACATCTATTTCATTGTATTATAAAAATATAAAGAAAAGATGTCAAAGTTGAAATTAAATGTAAAAGTAAGCTGGCAAGGTCACGGGAACTAGTTTGCAATGCATGGTCTAATCGAGAGAAAAAGACACAATATACTAAAATATTTCATCTTTATCTTTATAGGCAAATCATCATAATATTTTAGCTGTAGAGGAAACATACTCAAACGCTGACAAAAAATAATATTCAAGCTCCAACTCAAAGAGAAAAAGAACAAAGATCATACCATATACTTAAACACAAGAAATAACATTCAAATTACAACCTAACAAAAGAGAAGAGGAAAGTCATACGGAAAAAATTATACAAAGTCTGAGGATAATAATCTATTTGTATTTTTGGATTTTTTTTCTTTGGTCTTCTTTCTTTTTCATTTTTTTTTTCTATTGCTTCACTCTTGTTTCTTCTTTTGTATTTTTTATCCTTTTCTCTCGCTCAGATCTTTCAAAGAAACTTGTTATCTTTCCTAAATTTTTTTCTCTAAAACTTTGTTCTCTTCTATTCAAAAATAATTTTTTTTGACAAAAAGAACTACCCTAGTTGGATCTCTTACTTACCTTTTTATATCTATCTATTTAGGATTTTTTTACAAAACGCTAAAAATTTTAAATTTCTTTTTTCATGTTTAAAGCTTATTGTGGATGCTGAGCATAAATCTGCACACTGAAAATTTTATTTCTGGGGCCAAACTTATTTTTTAAATTTTTTATTATTTTTGTTTGTAACTAACATTTTATTATATAAAACACGAGAGCAACTGTAGGAAAGAAAATAGAAAAAAAAATGGTATTCACATGCATGAAAACCAATATTTCCATTAGAGCATATTCTTTGCATGGACACATACTTTGCCCTCCACCAAATGGCACAAAAGTGTAAGGAGCTGGCCCATTTCCTAGAAAGCATTCTAGATTCTTATGTATTGAACTTGCACTCCATTACAACCACACAAGTATAAAACAGCCTAAGTAAACTTAGATGATTACGTATTAATTGCTATATAAAGTTATTAATTCTTGCAAAGTAATTATGTTGTTTTGCTTTGTAAGTGACCACTTAAAAAGATATAAAATGGTGTAGAACAAGTTTTGGAATTTACCATGTAAACAAAGTTTGTTTCTTAATGGAATTGCAAAATAGAAGTTTAAATTTACAACATTTATGGCATTTTTTGGTATTTTTTATTTAATATCTTATTATATTTTTTATAATTTCTTTTTAACAATAATCTATTACAATAAGATAAAAGATAAATCTAATATGCATAGGCATCACTCTTAATAACTTATTAAAACTAAAACGTATTTTTTATATTATAATTTTAAATTTTATACTAGAAAATAAAATAATTGGAACATTTTTAAAGTAAAAAAGACATTTATATTTATTTGTTCTTTAAAGATAATGAGTTTGTTTAATTTTTAATTAAAGATATATTATAAACTTAAATAATTATCATAAAAAATATTTTAATCTCTTTTTATAACTTAAAATTAACTTTTAATAAAAATTTAACAATTATTATTGTAGACTTCATGTATGATTATCTAATTCTTTTGACATATATTCATTTAGTAATACTTAAACTTCAAAATATAAATATTATCTCATCTAATTATATACTCTTTTAAAAAAATAAATTGCATATATTTTTTTAAAAGAGAACGATCTTGATATAAGAATTTATATTTTTTAAAAAAATATAAGAAGTAAAGGATTAATTATATTTTTTGAAGAAATATAGGGAAAATTTTTGTTTATAAAATATCAACAAAGGACAATTTTGAAAAAAAATCAATAAATATTATGTGCATTTGTATGTTAGCATGCACGTTACCAAAATAAAAAGAATTATTTTTTCTTTTTTATTATCTTAAAAAAATAGTCAAATCATTTATGTTTTTAGTCATTTCAAATAAAGAATTTATTAATTAAATAATAAATATTAAATTAATTTGTGTGAAAATAAATAAAAATTATTAACTATAAAAAGTAAACTATTCGATCAAATAATATTGAGTATGTTATTTTGTCTCTTCTTAAGAAAGAAGCGAACTATTTTTTTTTTTAAATTGTGTTCAAATATAAAGACCGATTAAGAAGCAAGTTTGTTTTTTATAAAAATTACCAGTGCAAAATTTAAAGATTTTAAAATTAAGAATGTATTAAAACTTAAAAGAGTTAATCACGAATACAAAATCTTTGTTAAAAATAATATTATATTTATATATGAAAGATAAAATAATTTTTTTCTTATTCTCACACCTAATATTAATATGAAAAAAAAGATAAAAAGGCAAATGAAAATAAATGTTTCAAACTCAAAATTATTTCTATGCACAGCAGAAAAGCTTTTAGTAAAAAAAAAAAAAAAAACTGTGAAGTCTAACGAACATATAATAATGCAGTAACATATAATGACGGAAAATCATTCATTCAAATTTTTTGTTGTGCTATTTTTTTTTCTTGTATAGAAAGAATGTAAATATGAAAAAAATAAGAGCATGTTTGTTTCTCTTTTTAAAAAGTTTTCAATTTTTAAATAAGAAAACAAAAATAATCTAAGGGAACAAAAATAATTTAAGTAATAACATTTGAATAGTGTTTATTTGTCAAAAGAGGTAATATATGAAGGAATACTTAAAATTTATTTGAGTAAGACTTGTGTAAGAATAGTGGTCACCAAATATCTATATAAAATTTTTAAAAATAGTAAAAATCTTAATTGAGTTCAAGAATTAATCATAATTAATTGCTTTAAAGGATAAATACAGTTTATTTATATTTCTAACCTTAGTCCTTTTGTCTTTCTTTTTGTTTTGTCTCTTTCTAAAAAAAAATGGATTACTTTTCAACATTATGTAGTGTTGAGTCAGATATAAGTTAAGTAAAAAAAGTTTTACATTGTCTAATACTATAGAAGATGAATAGTATATAAAGGATAGCGTCCCCTTACCAATTGCTTTAAGGCTTGAAATGGATGTGATAACTCAACCCACTTGTGATTTGTTCAATGAATTAGTGACCTAACCAACTTAACATAACACATGCAAAATAATATTTCACCCATATAAATTTTATAGAATTGACTATTAAGTTCATCGACTTCTTTTAAGAAAATAAGGATTGACTAAGTTTTAAATTATAAATAAAAATCTTGATATTCAATTTTAAAAAGTAAGAATACAAACTAAATTTGTATTTTAATACACGTATACTTATCTATATATAATATAGTTAACATGACACTACTTTCCATTGTAAGGTATCTAACCTTAAAATGGCTAAGAAAAGTGATTGAGAGAAAGAGAATTCAGCATAAAGCAAAGTATATAGTATGGATCTGAGTACAAGAGATCAGGTTATATATAGACAAATTACAGAGGAAAGAAATAACTATTATTGATAGAAAAATGATTTAGTTACAACTAAAAACTAAGTTATTTAGGGCTATATATCCTTCACATCTACTACTAAATACTTTTATTCTTTAACCCTCTCATTTTATTTAGACTTGATTATTAAAGTTGTGTGCTAGATTGTACTCATTTCCAGTGTTTTTAGAAGCATCAATAAGGCATGAAAAACATTCTTATTTCTGATTGGCCCAATTGATAAACTTGTTGATATTTTTTTCACCTTCTACTTTGTTCTTGATAACCATTTCCATCAGTTTCAAAGATCTTACTTTTATTACGTCATCTTCAAGTAGTTGCTCCACCTTCTTCTTTATCTCTTCCCTTAATATTAATCCATTTTCATCCTTGTCAAATCCCAGTCCAACCTTCCACACATCACAGATATATGTCTTGTTCATAAGTTGATCACTGCAGAATGGCCAACACAAGAAAGGCACCCCGTTATATACACCTTCCATGGTTGAATTCCAACCACAGTGGCTAATGAAACATGCTAAGGAAGGGTGGCTCAAAATTTTCTTTTGTGGTGCCCAACCAACAATTTTACCTTGTGTTCCCCGAAATTCATCTGGGAATTCATTATTCACCTTGGAACCATTATCTTTGCGCACAACCCAAATAAAAGGCCTTTTAAGGAGATCAAGTGCAAGAGCTAATTCTTTGAATTGACTTTGTTCTATTGAGGCCATGCTACCAAACGCAACATATATCACAGATTGAGGTGGCTGCTGATCCAACCAATCTAAGCATGCTGTGTCTTCTTGCCACAATAAACTTATGTTGTGCTCATTTTCCACCAAAGGGCCAATTGGTAGGAGTTTTGGGGATGTGGAAAATGCTCCTGCTTCAAGATCGAATGTAGTGTTACAAAGCCACCATTCTCCTAAAATCAAATTTTGCATCTCTTGCTTCATATGAAGGAAGAAAAAGGCACTATCCAAGCAGTACCACGGCATGGCAGCTCCGTCCATCATAGGCAAATTTGAGGAAAGCTTAATTTCTTGTTTTCTGGTTGGAAGTCCTGAAATGCCAAAAATGCAATTTTAATAATAAATAAGTATTGCACTTCATAAATCTAGAGTTCAACAATAATATACTAAGTGAGATATAATTAAAGTCAAATTAATAATTTAATCTATACACTGTCATTGTTTTTTTATTTTAATCCAACGTAATACAAAGCATTTGTATCGTTTGCCACTGTCTTTGCTGAGAGAGCATGGTTATGATGTCATATCATTTAAGCAAAGACAGTAAACAACTTAGCAAAATTTAACAATTAATAAAATAATTTTGACAAATAAGAAGGATATATGATTTTTTATGGAAGGATTAAAAATGTAAATTTCTTTAATTTAAGAAAAATTTCGATATCAAGTATCTAAATTTTAATTTAATGTATAATTAATTATTAAAATTAACTAATTAAGAGAACAATATAATGCTTGATTAAATCTAGACAAATTTCCATTGGACCATACAAAACACAACGCTCAGCGATTGCATGTGACACGAAGAATATAGGTAAATACTACTGAATGATTATCGATAAATAGTGGTCATGGTCAGTATATACTTAGAATTGCTCACGAATTTCTTTTGAAATAAATGTCATATGCAAACGAATGATGAAACTTCGAGTTAAATATTATTAGAAATGAATTAGACTAAAAGTTAACTTATAGAAGATAGATTATTCAAATCTTAAAAATAAAAGAAAAATATTCATGTACGATACTTTCAAGTTTTTAATATTTGAAGCGTATTATAAAAAGAAAATAAAAAACAAAAGATAAAAATAATAAAATTTAATGTAAGTGTCAAGTTTTTTAGATTTAATAATATTTTTATTGTATTTATAAAAAAAAAATGAATATTTAATTTATCAAGACTAATAAAAAGCAGTTATATATTATAAATTTATATTCTATTGCATAAATATTTATAATATTGTATAATCAAATTAGTGAGTTATATATATTAAATGAATGTATACACTTTTATGGATAAGAGGTAAGAGAAATTAATATTATGTTATCACAAATTTTATAATAAATAAAAATATTAATTGTTTTAGTAGTTAATGCATTTAAAAAATGATCTTTATTTTTTATATTTAGGAATAAAATAATTTCTTTTTATAAATATAAGAAGAGACAGTATAACATTAAAAAATTACATTATGCACTTAGAACATCTTAATATATAGATATTTCTTACCATTTTTGGAATCTATGTATCCTTCATCAACAAGCCTCTGTATGGAGTCAAAGGATATAAGAGAAGTTGCTGAGGCTGGCCAGAATAGAGCCCCTTTAATTCCTAATTCGAGGCCGACTTGCAAGGCCCATCCCATATTTTTAGTGACAATTATACAAGAAATCTTGTTTTCACTATCCAGATCATTTATATCTTTTATGAGCTTGGGAAGCTTAGCATGCATGTTGTTTATGGTGGACTTGATAACTTTGGTTTGATCCTTTCTGTCATCTTCAGAATCCACACCATCTGGGAGAGAAACTACATTTATATGTGATTCTATGACTTTGCTCTGCCCCACAAATGCACTCTTCAGTTTGTTGTAGTCACCATCTGAAATCACGAAAGTGACTTTGCATATTTTGTTGATCAAAACCATAGAGAACTGCAAAAGGGGATTCATGTGTCCTAGGATTGGGTAAGGTATTGCAAGAAAGTGTGGAATGCCCATTGGTAAGGTGTGGAATGTAGGATTGTGGTAGAGTTATTGTTGATTTGTCCAAGAGCATTATTTGTGAAGTATATATGGAAGGCTTGAGCAGCAAACATTACATTCCAGGTTTGTTTTCTAGTTTTTGGGTCAAGTCAGGCGTGAAGAATGGGGTCTGCTAAAGCTCGCATTCCAGGTCTCTCTGATTTATTTTTTAAGAAATGTCGACTTTTGTGAATGAGAAAAATTGACGTTGAAAGAGTTAATCTAATTTAACTTTAGTGTAAATATTTTGAGGTCGAATCAAATTCTCTGTGATAAAAAGAACATACCAAAAAGTTAAGCGTGAGCTATGGGTTTGTTTGTAGTATTGAACTTGGACGCATGCATGAGGCTGTACCTGCAGGTGGTGAGTGCGCATCAATTTCCAAATTCCAATTGACCTGTAATTGAAGAGTCAAGAACTTGGTCAACACGCCATGGAAACTGCACATTCTGCAAATGCAGCTGTCGCGACCCAAATTGCAATGCGACACCAGTGTCACTCCACACATTTTGGCTGTTTGAAGAAAGTGAGATGGGAAAGTGTTATGAAACTTGCAAATATTTCAGTTCTTTTAATCTAAAAGATTTTTTTATTGTTAATTATCATTCTTTCTCTTTCGTCTTTCGAACTTTTTCTTTTTCTTCCTTCTAAACTTTTAATAAAACCTTAATTTAAGTTTAGAGTTGAATTCACTGTCAATTTCAATAATAGTGAGAAATTTTTTAAAAATAAAATAGCCTATAAAAAATCATATTAAATTTGAAACTTAATTTATGCATAAGAAAAGGAAAAAAAAAAAAACTCACAGTGTGTCTACTACATCCATTCTAATGTTTACCTTAAATTGACGAAAAAAAATTATAATAGCCTTTAAAATTATTTATGTTACTCCTTTGATCCAAATTAAAAGAATGAGAACAATTAAAATAAATGAACAAACAAATAAGTAAACAAATGATTAAGCAAAAGAGAAATAGATATAAAAAATAAATTTTAGTTTGATGGTTTAATTTAAATTTTACAATATTTTTGTGCAATCAAAAACTCAAAAGCATATAATTTTTAAAGAAAACAAGTATGGATTAATTGATTTTAATTAAATAAAAATAAAGCAAATGAATTAAACATTAGCATAAGTTTTTAATATTTAAAATAAATAATTAAAAGTGATAAATTTTAGTAAAAACTATTATTTTAAAATATAAAATATAATAAATATTATATATTTTAATAAATTTATTTTTTATAAGGCATAAACTTAATTTTAAAAGTTGAAATTAATAAACTTATTTTTATAATTAAAACAATATTATTTTTGAATAAAAACATTTATAATATAATAAGATGAATTATTAATAAATAACGAAAACAAAATATATACTATATGAACCGATCACTTATTAATAACACGAGTTTGTTTACCGTGATAAGAATGATTTTGACCTGGACACAGTGAATTATACATACACTCGCAGGAATTCAATTGAGTTAAGAATAGCATAAATGTAATATTCATAAACAAAGTTGAAAACGTCAATTTTTTTTGGAATTAAATACGTACCATCAATTTGAATAATTCTCATTCATGATTTGAAAAAAAATCAAGAAAATTTTCACGCAATATGATTTGAATAGAAAAAATTAGACTGAATAGATTGAACACATGTGTATAAATGTAATTTTTTTAACACGTTAATTATTACTAATTAAAATTTATTAAAATTTATAAAATATAATTGAGAGATTGAAATTTATTTGTTCTTTATTTTTAATAATTTTTAATTAATAAAAAATATACTAAAAATATCTTTTTCATTTTTAAAATTTGTTTTTTTTTTGGTGACCTCATATAATTGCCCATCGATGAATGTATTAAAAATAATTTTTATATTAAACTATTTGTTGCAATGTAGAAATTTAATTTTTAGTGATCGTCAAATATATATTTAGTGTGTTTGGATTGGATTGTTTTTGTGGATTATTTAAAAATAGTATTATTCATTTGTGATTGACAAATTTTAGAAAACTAGCTTAAAATCTTTGGCCTTTTTTTTTATAAAGGAAATATGTTATCTAAAATAAATAAAATCTTGGAGCTTATAATTAAAATACAAAATTATTGAATATGTTTTTTGCTAGGGTTTTCTTTTACGCTCCAAGATTTTTTTTCTTGAGATAAGTGAGAGAAAGAGCCTCTGCTACTCTGCTAGGGTTTTCTTAGCCCTAGGTTTTTTTGCTGTCAATCCAGACGTCGTCACGCTTCTGGTGGTCGCACGGTGGTGTGTGAAGGGGTTCTTCCCCAGAACCCTAACATCATGTAGTTGTAAAGGTGAATATGGAGCCTCTTGAAGAAGAGAATTGTCCCAACGAAGACACGGATCTGGTGTTCAGAAGTAAGAAGAAGATAAAGAGGGTTCAATCACCTTCCTTGGAGGATCTGGACCCGAGAATGCAAGAGGATGCTTCTCAGGATCCCGACATAAACCAGGTGAAACCAAACCCTAATATCTCTACATGTATGACATATAGGGATAAGGTTATTGAAGTTAATGACCTAGATCTAGTCTTAGATGATGACGAAATTATAAAATTAGTTATGGATGATTTTAACATTCTTCTGGATTCTGATGAAATTGTATCAGAAGATGATAATAATCATCTTTGCCCTGAGCTAAAAATCCCTTTAGAGGACTACGAGGCTTGGTGTAATCCTTGGAAATTTACCCTCATAATAAAATTGTTAGGTAAGTCCATTAGTTTTAGTTTCCTAAGTCAAAATTAATAATCTTTGGGGGTAAGAATGGTAACCTTAAAATTTTGGACTTGAACAATGATTTTTTCTTAGTTAAATTTGAGAACTTAGCTTATTATAAACATGCCTTATTCAAAGGACCTTAGCTTATAATGGATCATTACCTTTTAGTTCAACGATAGAGGCCTCTGTTTAGGCCCAAAGATCATAACCTTAGGAAATTGGCTATTTGGGTCCGCATCCCAGATCTTCCTCTAGAATTGTACAATGAGAAATTTTTATGGCAGGTCAATACCTGCCTGGGATCTATGCTAAAAATTGATTCTCATACCTCCTTATTAGCTAGAGGTCGCTTTGCTAGAATTTGTGTTGAGATTGATCTAAATAAGAGACTTATCCCTTCATTTAAAGCCCTAGGACAGGTATTTAGAATAGAGTATGAGGGATTGCATCTTATATGTTTTAAATGTGAGAAATATGGGCATAAACTGGATTCTTGTAATGATATTTCTAAATCCCCCTCTGTTAGGATTGATGCTGAGAATTCTCTTCATCCTTCTGTAATGTCTAAAGATAAAATGTCTATTGGGCCTGAGTGTTATTCTGGGGATAGTGCTTAGGAATCCCAATTAGATAAGTCTAGTGAGGAACATAGTCAATTTGGTCCTTGGATGTTGGTCAAAAAACCCTTTAAGAAAAAACCAGCTCAATCTAGAGTTTCTGGGGGGTCTACTCCTAGGGGTAAGGGTAAAGAGTTATCCTCTGGGTCAAGATTTGGGGTGCTTCAAAAAACAGATATTGAGTTGGAACAAGAATCTTATCCTAATCAAAAGAGTTTATTTGATAGTAAGGAGAAAACTAACTTAGAAGTGTCTCATTACCTTGAAGGATCTAGACCTAGGTTTGTAGGTAAATCCTTTAATGATCATAGTTCTAATAAGAATCTTAAAAAGTTAACTAAGTCTAGATCCAAACCTAAGCATGAACTTCTTAATGATTCAAGAAGTGAGTCTAATCAAGTAGTGAAACAAGTTTTGTCTGAAGGGGTTTCTAGGGTTAGCAACTTAGATATTGAAAAAGATAAGGATATCATGCTTCTTATGAGTCAAATGCAGAAAGATATTAATAATAACCCATCCCAAAATTGTTCTATTCAGGGCTTGTTAAGTATGAATCATAATAATAACTGGTCCTTTTATATTAAACTTGATAAACCACCTGATAAGGAGGTTCTTATGGATATGGATTTAGGTGGTAACATAGGATCGGGAAATGAAGCTATTCTTGATGTCCCTCTGGACCTAGAATCTGGGTTAGTGAATGACCAACATCATTTAGATGCTTCCTAATTTTCTTTATTTTTATGAATAGTTTTTTTTGGAATTGTAGAGGAGCTAGTGGCAAGGGTTTTCATAGGATTATTAATGATCTAATTGACATTTACAGCCTGGACTTTATATCTTTATTTAAGCCTAGGGTCAGCCTTGAGAAGGCTGATAGTATTATTAATAAAATTAAACTTGATAGTAATACTAAAGTAGATGCGCTTGGATTTTCTGGAGGCATTTGGTATTTCTAGAACTCCTCTAAGGTTAAGGCTTGTGTTTTATCTAAATCTAAGTTTATTATTCATATGGAAATTAGTTGTTGTGGTCATCCTGACTGGATTCTCTTGGTTATTTATGTCAACCCTAAGGAAAGAGTTAGAATAGATTGCTGGAATGAGTTGATTGTTTTTAGTCGTACTGTTACTAGCCCTTGGTGTGTTGCTGGAGATTTTAACTTTGTTCTATATGAAAAGGAAAAACTTGGTGGGGGTCCTGTCAATACTTATCTTATTAACAACTTTGCTGATTATCTTAATAACTGTAGACTTCAAGATTTGGAGTTTAAAGGAACTTCTTTTACTTGGCAGAGAGATAACCTTAGAGAGAGAATAGATAGAGTTGTGGCTAATGAGGATTGACGCCTTTTATTTCAGAATAATATAGTTCTTCATATTCCTGTCCCTAAGTCTGACCATGTGGGACTTTGGCTCAAATTGAATTTCAGGGATAAGGGTCACTCTGCTAACAAACCTTTCAAGTTTTTAGCTCCTTGGGTTTCTCACCCTGACTTCCCTAGCCTTGTAAAAGCCTCTTGGTCCAGATCTAGCTCTTGGACTGATAATATTCTTAGGTTTACTAATATTTTATCTGATTGGAACATATCCACTTTTGAAAA